CTCAGCCTGGAGTAGGCCAGTTGGGGTTTGACCCAAAGAACTTGGGTGCTTCCAAAGGTTGTAAGAATTGAGCCAGGTGTGTTTCAGAGTCCTTTCTGAGAATACTAAAGAGAAGAATGACCTCCTCTTTGGGGACAGGGCTGACCCTGGGGAATGGAAGGGTTGTAGAGACCAGTACAATAGGATGGACTGGGTGAGGAAGAGGGGGGATACCATTCTTATCACAGTCCCTTCCTCCCAAACCAAAGTGCTGCTTAAGGGCTGGGGTTCCCAGGATTGAGGACTAAGGGGACACTTAGAATATAGAATGTCAGAGCTTAGAAAGGCCTAAGAACATAGAGTATCAGAGCTGGGAGGGCCCTTAGAACACAAAATATCAGAGCTAAGAGAGGCCTTAGAACAAAGCGTATCAGAGCTGGGAGGGCCCTTAGAACACAGGATGTCAGAGCTGGGAGGGCCCCCAGAACACAGGATGTCAGAGCTGGGAGGGCCCTTAGAACCCAGAATGTCAGAGCTAGGAGGGACCGTAGAACATTATGTCACGTATCCTAGAGCACAGAATTAGAAGGGACTTTAGAACAGTTAGAACTGGAAGTGGCCTTAGGACATTGGATGTGAGAGAAGGGAGGGACCTTAGAACATTGAATGTCACAGCCAGAAGGGGTCCTTAGAGATCATCTAGTTTAATCCTGTTATTTTATAGGTGAGCTAAGACCCAGAGAGGTCAGTTGTGTTGGCTGAATGTCTACCACTAGTGAACAGCCAAGTTAAGATTCAAACTCTGGTCCAAGTCCAGCGTTATTTTCAGTATATTATTCTGCTTCTTGCTTTGGGGCTGGGCTTCAGGAATGGAATGCTAGGTCTTAGGCAGATGGGAAATATACTAGAAACTAAAGAAAGGTTAAGGCCAAAGGACAAGAAACGTGGCAGAGAGTTAGAGCTGGGAGCATTATGTTAATATTTTAGAGTTTCCAGGATTGTTAGAGGTGGGGGAGGACACAGGAGCACAGATTTAGAGCTGAAACGAACTTTAAAAAAAAAATTTTGGTTCAACTGTCTCCTCTTACAGGTAAGGAAAATGAGGCCCAGAGAGGCAGAGTGTCTTGTTCAAGGTCACATAGCTCGTGATGACGGGGCCATGTGAGTCCATATCTCCTTTTCACAATCCGGCGTTCTTGCTGTTACTATGTCACATTTGTATTTGAAAGGTTAAAGGTTAGAAGCTAGGAGCCAGAACTTAGGGGATAGTCACGGAGACCCAACCCTGACCATTTCCTTCCTCAGTCCCTTGAGCCACTGAATTTTGCAACCTGAGACTTCTATTGCCTGTGTTACCAATGACCCCCAAAGCTAAGGGTCAAATGCTGGAGCACCAGCTTTGTCCTCATTGGCCCTTATGCAAGGAGGTTGCCAAGGCCAGGCTGGGGATCCTGATCCCCCATGAACAAGGCCTTGGGCCTTTTCACCAAAATGCCAGCACTATGGGCCCTGAAGAACAGCTCTCCTCTGCACATTTCTGGGCATACGGTTGCATGTTACATCCAATTCCCAGTGTGTCAATAAGATGGGAGGCGCAATGCAGTTGTTTCTGAGGGCCTGGCACACATAGAATACAGAACAGGTGAGTAGATGCATTAATGTCCTCCCATCCTTGATGAGGAGAGATAGACACATATGCAGCCAGCAATACAAGAGCTGCCTAGAGGTATTGGGCAGAAGAGAAGGCTCGTAGAAGCACCCATCAGGAATGTCTAAGGGGCTTCACGCACGAGGCTGGGGAGGGGGGAAGGTGTCTACAGGACCGCTGAGGTCCCTTCCCATTAGCCATAGGAGCCTAGGGAGCCTAGCCTTAGGGCCGTCAATGACCTTGGGGATATTTGGTCTAGCCACTCACCTCCATTAACAAATCAAAAAACTGAGGCCCAGAGAAATTAAGTGACCTGCCCAAAGTCACTGAGAGGCAGTTGATGGCGCAGTCGATTGAGTACTTGTCTTGGAGTCAGGAAGACCCTAAATGCAAATCCAGCCTCAGACACTTACTAGCTGGGTGACTCTGGGCGAGCCACTTAACCCTGTTTGTCTCAGTTTCCTCACCTGAAAAACAGGGATATTAATAGTATCTACCTCCCAAGGTTGTTGTGAGGCTAAAGTGAAATAATGTTTGTAAAAAAACACTTAGCCTGGCACATCTATATAAATGCTTGTTCCCTTCTATTCTTTTTTTTTTAAGGCAATTGGGGTTAAATGACTTGCCCAGGGTCACACAGCTAGTAAGTGTCAAGTGTTTGGTCTGAGGTTGCTTTTGAACTCAGGTCCTCCTGACTTCAGGGATGGTGCTCTATCCACTGCGCCACCTAGCTGCCCCCTATTCCCTTCTATTCTGTTCTCAAAATCACAGAGGTAATAAGTTAAAGAATCAAGATCTGAATCCAAATCCTCCAATCCCATATTCAGTGCTCTTTCCACTGCTCTAGGTCCTAACATTCTGTGTTCTAAGGGCCCTCCCAGATCTGACATACTGTGTTCTGAGGCCCTTTTAGCTCTGACTTTCCATATTCTAATATCCCTCCCAACTCTAATATTGTATATTCTGCTGTCCCTTCTAGCTCTGATGTCCAGTTTTCTCTGATCCCTATCAATTGCCCATTTGAGGATTTTATAGCTCAAGATAGGCTGTGGAGTAGAGAGGTAGACTGGGTATGGGCTGGAATGAACTATGCCCTGCCGCAAGGGCTGGAGGAGGAAAGGTTCTTTATGCAGCCTGCACTCCTCTCCTTCCAGCCTTGGGGCACAGGTTGCTTTTTCCCTTGGGTACCGGAGTGAGAATGTACAGAGCTAAGGTGTGATGAAACCCACCTGAGTATCTATCTTCCCCATTGCACTTCCGCCAAGGTCCAAAGTCATTCTGCCTAAAGCCTGTCCCATGCTGGCAAGCCTGACGTGCTCATTCGCCCAGCTGGACAGAGATGACCCTTGTGGGCCTCAAGGGAAGGTGGAGGACAGCCAGGCTTTGAGGGGCAAGGAAGCCACCTCTTCACCATCTGGTGGGTGTTTTAGAAGAGGCCTTGACCTACTGGAGCCCAACATATTGAGCCACCTAAAGCGACCTCCCAGACAGATGCAGGGGGTGCATCTTCTCTTTCTCCCTGGGTGCTTCCTGAGATCTGGTGGCCAGGCTTCTCCTGTCATACTATGGTACTGTGGTATAGTGGACTGAGCACTGTACTTGGTGTCAAGAAGCCCTAGGTTCAAATCTTCCCTTGGACACCTACTAATTGTGTGACCCTGGGCAAGTAACATAATCTCAGTGTGCCTCAGTTTCCTCATCTGTAAAATGAGAGGGTTGGACTCAATGACCTCTAAGGACCCTTCCAGCTCTGAATCTATTACACTGTGTTCCTATGATTTTTCTATCAGACTTGGAACTCCCTGATAGCAGGAATTGTATTGTCATTGTACTAACAGAGGTAGGAGGTCTCCTAGCAGCAGCCAAGATGTTAAGGATAATGCTATGGAGCCTACCTCTCCTCCCTCCAAGAATTCTGTCTCCTGTAGTGCTCAGAATCCATCTATTAATACAACAGTCATTTAATGTTTTTTTTTAATATTTTTTGTTTACACATCACCTTTATTTCCAAATATAATCTTTCCCCTGTTCCTAAGAAGGAAGCTATCCCTTGTAACAAAGAATAAAAAAGAACCAGGCCCCCAAAAAGCAGCTTAGCAAAACCAATACAAACATCAGTATTGCCTGACAACATATGCAGTATTCCACACCCATAGTCTGCCACTTCTTTGAAGAAGAAGAAAGGAAGGTGTATTTTCTCGGCTCTTCTCCAGAACCAGACCTGATCATTATAGTGACACAGACTCGGTGTTGTTTTGTCTTTCTTTGTTTATGGTGGTGTTGTCATTGTGTAGATGATTTCCCTGGTTCTTCTCCTTTCACTCTGCATCAATTCATGTAAGTCTTCCCATGATCCTCTGAGTTCTTTATATACCAAATATCCCCAAAATCTTAGCTTAAAGGCTCAGCATTAAGGGACTTGGGATACTTTGTGTAGTTTCTTGTGAAACAGTAATATTCTGTTTTTATTTATGTATCTCAATTTGTTTAGTTTCAATCCATGGGTGCCCATTTTTTTTCTAAGTTTTTTCTGGGTTTTTTGTTTGTTTTTGTTTGTTTGTTTTTGCTAAAAGGACAAAATATTTTAGCATACGTGGGACTTTTCTTCCTGCCTTTGACCTCTTTGGGGTATATATTTAATAATGGGATCTCTGAGTGAAAGAGTATGGACATTTTAGTCTCTTGTTTAGCCTGACTCCAAATTACTTTCCAAGATCTGTTATTTATTAGGCATCTTAAAGAAGCCCATAGTCTAGCTGCTCCGTAGATCCCCACTTGCAGATGTTAATTAATTTGACGTCTCCTTTTGTGTCCCGTGCGCAGTGGGAGGAAGTGAGTGGATACAATGAAAACATGAACACCATCCGGACCTATCAGGTGTGCAATGTCTTTGAGTCTAGTCAGAACAACTGGCTCCGTACCAGGTACATCCGGAGACGAGGAGCTCAGCGCATCCACGTGGAGATGAAGTTCTCTGTCCGGGACTGTAGCAGCATCCCCAATGTCCCCGGCTCCTGCAAGGAGACCTTCAACCTTTATTACTATGAAGCCGACTTTGACTCGGCCACCAAAACCTTTCCCAACTGGATGGAGAACCCATGGGTCAAAGTGGATACAATTGCAGCGGATGAAAGCTTTTCCCAGGTGGATCTGGGGGGAAGGGTGATGAAAATTAACACAGAGGTTCGGAGCTTTGGGCCTGTCTCCAGGAATGGTTTCTACCTAGCCTTTCAAGACTATGGTGGTTGCATGTCCCTCATTGCCGTCCGTGTGTTCTACCGAAAGTGCCCCCGGGTGATCCAGAATGGGGCTGTCTTCCAGGAGACCCTCTCCGGGGCTGAGAGCACATCTTTGGTGGCTGCCCGGGGCACCTGCATCCCAAATGCCGAAGAGGTAGACGTTCCCATTAAGCTCTACTGCAATGGGGATGGGGAGTGGCTGGTGCCCATCGGGAGATGTATGTGCAAGGCTGGCTACGAATCAGTGGAGAACGGGACCGCCTGCCGAGGTAATGGAATGCTCTTTCTGTTTCTTCTGATTAACTCTATTTTGCTGCCTCTAGAATGGGCTGATTCTTGGTGTGGGTCAATTCTCATTGTGCTAGAGTGGGTTGTTGGTGGGGACAAAGGAGAAAGGTTGAAATAGCTTCTTCTCTGGTGCCTCAGGATTTGATTCAATGTCAGAGAGATGTCAGACTCCTTGTACCCTAGCCCCAGCTATTTCTCAGGACACCGTGAGCATTGGTCAATGGAACGGGCTAGACCTCTGCTCTCTGTCAGGAAGCCTTGGTTTTTACCGTGGACCATGGTAAGGTGACACTCCAAGTTGGAAGTCACCTGAGAACACTGCATTTTGACATGTTGTGTATATTGTTTTACTGCTTTTGATTAATACCACTTTGCATCAGTGTATATAAATCTTCCCGTGCTGATCTGTATTTGTCACATTCGTCATCTCTTTACAGAGTGTAGAGGTTATTCCATTACGTTTGTGTCCCATATTTTGCTTAGCCATTCCTCATTAGAAAGACATCTACTTTGTTTCTAAGTTCATAATATATTAAGGTGGAAGGGTCCAGAGAACATAGAATATCAGAGTGAAAGCCCCTATCTGACATCAGGCTTTTGTCCCTTTCACTCTCATATTCTTTGTTCTAAGGCTCTCTCCCAGCTCTGACAGTCTGTGTTCTAAGGGCCCTCCCAGCTCTGGCAGTCTGTGTTCTAAGGGCCCTCCCAGCTCTGGCAGTCTGTGTTCTAAGGGCCCTCCCATCTCTGGCAGTCTGTGTTCTAAGGGCCCTCCCAGCTCTGGCAGTCTGTGTTCTAAGGGCCCTCCCAGCTCTGGCAGTCTGTGTTCTAAGGGCCCTCCCATCTCTGGCAGTCTGTGTTCTAAGGGCCCTCCCAGCTCTGACAGTCTGTGTTCTAAGGGCCCTCCCAGCTCTGACAGTCTGTGTTCTAAGGGCCCTCCCAGCTCTGACAGTCTGTGTTCTAAGGGCCCTTCCAGTTCCAACATTCAAGGTTCCAACATTCTTTGTTCTCAGATTCCTTCTGCCTCTTGGCACTTTACAGTCTAAGGTCCTTTCTAGTTCTGACATTCTGTGACTATAATTTCCTGATTTCAATTTTTGTTTCCCCATTTAAGGGAATGAAAAGGGAGGGCCTGATGGGAGAGACAATACCAGAGAAAATCGACAGCTAGTATCTCTTTTAACACCTGGTGGCTCCTAATCAAGGAAAATTGATTAGTCCCCCCCACTCTCATGCTGGCCCAGAGCCCCCTTAGAGGGGCAGTTTCTGAGCCAGCTGTCCCCATGTGAGTGCCAATTGCCGGCATGGAGTGATTAATGAGCTAGGGGAGTGCAGAGCCACACAGCCCACAAGTGCAGCCTGTGAAACAGCTGCCCAGATGTGGGGCCTCCCAGAGCCTATGGCTAGAAAACAGACCCTGTGACCTGACTTCCTCACACTCTGCATATCTCTCCCTCCCCTGTTCCCATCCCAACCTTTCACTCACTCACTCCTTCCTATTCCTTTTTCCACTGGTTTTGTGCACTGAGAAGAGTGTGGAGGCCCCCTGACAGGTCCTTTTTCCTTATCAGAATTTTTGTTAACTAAGTACTGGTCCAATTATATCCAGCCTTTTCAGGAACCTAAAGGATTCCTGAGCTGAAAGGGTCTTTGCAAGGGCAGTGAAGCCTCTGCCTGTCTCCAGGCTGTTCCAGACCATTCTTTTATGGAATGTTAGGATTGGAAGGCTCTTTTGGATCATAAAATGTGTGACTATGGGATGTGAAAATTAAAATGGCTTTAGAAGACAGAATATCAGTGCTGGAAAGGACCTTAAAACAAAGAATTTATTATCCAGACAGGGTATATTGAATATTAGAATCAGCAGGAACCTTAGAATGTAGAATGTCAAAACTTGGAGGCATCTTAGAAACAAGAATTTCAGAACTGGGAAAGACTTTAGAACAAAGAACATAAAGTTAGGAGAGGCCTTAAAACACAGGATGTTAGAGCTGGGAGGGGCTTTAAAAGGCAGAATATCAGTATGGAAAAGCCCTTAGAATAGAGAATGTCAAAGCTGGGAGGGTCCTTAGAACAGAGAATGTGACAGATGGGAGAGCCCTTAGAACACAGAGTGTCAAAGCTGGGAGGTCCCTTAGAACACAGAATGTCAAAGATGGGAGAGCCTTTAGAAGCCAGAAGGTCCCAGCTGGGAAAGTCCTTAGAACAGAGAATGTAAGAGCTAGAAGGAACCTTAGAATGTGGAACCTTGGCTCTAAAAGATATTTGAGAACATAAAATGTGGGAATGTAGATTGTTAAAGCTGGAAAAGAATTGAGAACACTGAATGACAGTTATAGACTGTTATATCTGAAATCATCTTTGCCAAACCATGTAGTGCAAGCCCTTCTTTTCAAGATGAGAAAAGAATTATCATAAGACTAACTCATTTACATAAGACTTTAAGGTTGCCAAGCACTTTCTATTATAGTAAATCTTTTGATCCCCAAATCCTCATTTTGGGGCTCCAGACCTAGTTAGTGGCTGTTCCATTCCACCTAAGTGGCCATACAGACACATCTCTTTCCCCTGTGGGCCATCCCTGTGCTCGTGCTGTGGGCTTTACATCAGCCAGGCACACGGCAAGGCAGGGGTTCATTTATAGTTGATGGGCAAGTTCCTTTTTAAGGCCCTTTTGGGAATGAGGTTTATATACTAGAGCTCCGAGGACCCTAGGGGATATGTCCCAGGAACATATCCTATGGCGAAACAGATACCTTTGCTTTTTTACTAGCTGTGTGACTTCGGATAAGCCATTTCCTCTCCCTCACCTTCAGTTTCCTCCTCTGGAAAATGAGGGAATTGGTGTAATTGATATTGAAGGTCTCTAACAACTTTACAAATAATCCATCCTCTCTCCCCCTCTCCATTCCTTGTCTCTTCTTTCCTCACCCACCCCACTGTGTGATATTTCCACATTCCAGCGCTCCTCTGGGGACTCACTCCTGGCTTAGGTCCTATGGTATAAAGAGGTCCAGCACTGATATCTCTGGGGCTTTAAGCAAAGCTAGTAATGTAGAAAGAGGGTGAGACTGGTCTCTCTTCTTTATGTTAATTCGCTCTTCCCTATGTTAACTTTCTCTCAGTCTCTCTGTATCTCTGTCTCTGTCTCTCTCCCTCCATCCCTCCTCCTTCCCTCCCCCTTCCATCCGTTGTTTCTCTATCTCAGGTGGGGATGGGGGGGTATATGTCTTGCTCTTCCTCCTCCTCTCTTTCCCTTTCTGTGTCTATGTTTCTATCTCTCTTGTCTTCTCATCTGTGTGTTCATGTCTGTCTCTTTCTCTGTGTCTCCGTCTTTCTTTGATCCTCCCTCTTTTAGACTCCCTCTTTTAGTCTTTCTCTTCCTTTGTCTCCCCATCTGTCTCTGTCTCTCTCTAGGTCTCTCCTCTATGCTCCCTGTGGAATCAGTGCAGCCCCATGGGCATGCCATCGCTCTCCAACAGTGAGCATCAGCTTCCTGGGCCTGCTTCTTCCAGTAGCAAGCCAGGAACTGTAATTGATCTGGAGAAAAAAACTGCCACAAGCCTGAGTGTCGAGATTGTGTCGGAGCTGGAATGGGGTTTCTTTATGTTTACCTTGGACGAAGAGAGGGGTTTGTGGCCAGTACAGGACACTTAGAGCCATGTGTTCATTCATAGGCTGCAATTTAGATTTTATGTCAGTGAGCCTTTGGGTTCCTCTTCAAATAGTCATTTTCTCTCTCTGCCCCCTCTTTGTCTTTCTGTCTCTGTGTGTGTGTCTCTCTGTCTCTCTGTCACTATCTCTCTGTCTCTGTGTGTGTGTGTGTGTGTGTGTGTGTGTGTGTCTGTCTGTCTGTCTTCCTCTCTCCTTTGTTATTCCCTTTGGCTTCTTGTTTTTTCCCTCTTCTTTTACTTGGAGTCCACCCATCACAGCTCTGAAGGTTACTCCCCTTTGGTCTGTTTTTGCACCCATGCCCACACACTTACACACACACACACTCACTCACACACACACTCACTCATACTCATCTCCATCTCCTTCCTCCAGTAACCCAAGGAGCACAATGCTCTAACATTCCATGTTCTAACACTCTAGATTCTAAGAACCCTTCTAGCTCTTGGATCCTATGTTCTAAGAGCCCTTCCAATGCCTGCTTTCTGTATGAAGAGATTTTGCAGCTCCAGCATTCCATATCCCATCATGCCTTGCCAGCTCCGGTCGGCTTTCAGTGTTCTGTATTTGAAGAGCCTTCCCACATTCTGTATTCTGAGATACCTGCCCACTCTGGCAATCCTGTATCCTAAGAGCCCTTCCAAGTTTCCTATTTGATGTGTTCTGGTATAATACTGGAGGTGGGGAGACAGGTCAGTCTAAGAATGAGCCAACTGGCCCAGGGAATGGGGGAGGTGAAGAGTCAGAGAGGAAGACATGGGTGGAGTAGATGCAAGTTGGAATACTTAGTGGAAGTGTGGTGACCTCTTCCTCCCAGCTTATGTGCTTTTCCTAGAAATTTCTGCCCAACCAGGGGTGGGAGAGGTGTCAGTGGGCAGGCGATCAGATATCTCAGGAGGTCCCAGATGTTGCCTTCAGGAAGGGTTGAGGGAGAGCCAATAAAGTCAGGGAAATTCTAGTGAAGAGAAAAGGTCCTCTTCCCTCCTCCCTATGCCCTTCTCAATTATATCTGGAAGCTGGATTGGAACCTTAAAGACCATTTGGTCCAGGGGTTAATAGCCTGAGGTCCATTAATTATTTTTTTTTTAATATTTTGATAACTATTTCATATATTTGGTTTCCTTTGCAATCGTATATATTTTGTTTTAGGCACTTAATACCGTGACTGTGAGAAGGGGTCTCCAGGCTTCATCAAGCTGCCTGAAGGGCTTACAAGACAAAAAAGGCTCAGATCTTCTGCTCTGGTGAATCCTTCTTCATTCCACCCCACCACCACCTTAGTCCAGGACCTTATGACCAAACTTACCTGGAC